TAGAAGAAATTACCACTGGGTAAGTAGAATCATCTCCAAGAAATGCATATTTGAGATGGGCCGAAAGAGGTTTGAGAGTAGGCTTTGGAGCAACTTCACATAAGGATTTTTGGCTAGGCTTCCTAGCACCAAGCTCTTCAAGTTTAGGCCAGAATTTGGTGTAGGAACCCCCGGCTTGAAGGTACATTACTTCCTCAAAAAGTGCAGGAATTTCTTCATCTTCGGTGCATCCTAGCAAAATGCATGCCTCAAGAGGGTCTTCATGTATCTCCCTCTCAAAAACTTCTTGTGTCAAAGTATCAAAAATATTGATACTAAAACATGTAGAATCATCATGGTGCTTCTTCAAGGAATCCCAAACATGGAATTCTTGCTCTTCCTCTCCAACACGGAATTTCACAACACCATTCTTAACATCAATAAGGGCAGCTGCCGTGGCCAAGAAAGACCTTCCAAGAATCACCGGAATTTCCATCTCCTCCATTTCTAGTACAAGAAAGTCCACCGGAAAATAAAATTTTCCGACCTTCACAAGAACATCCTCCATTACTCCAATAGGATAACGAATGGTTCTATCCGCCAATTGTAGAGCTATAGTTGTGGGTTGAAGCTCCCCCACACCTAGTTTCTTGAATAGAGAATGTGGCATAAGATTAATGCTAGCTCCAAGATCACATAGGGATTTTACCTCTCCTAGACTTCCAATAGAACAAGGAACGGTGAAGCTCCCGGGATCCTTCAATTTTGGAGGTAATTTATTTTGGAGAATAGCACTACACTCCTCCGTGAGTGCTACGGTTGCAAAATCCGCAACCTTCTTCTTGTTGCTAAGAATATTCTTTAGGAACTTTGCATAAGAGGGAATTTCCGCAATAGCCTCAATAAAGGGAATATTTATGCTCAACTTGGTGAAGATGTCTAGGAACTTTTTGTATTGCTTGCTATCATCTTTCTTCTTTAACCTTTGTGGGTAAGGAATTGGGGGAACATAAGCCGCCATGGATGGTGGTGGTGAGACATGCTCCACTAGCTCTTCATCTTCTTGTTTCTCCATGGGTTCTTTTTGAATTGTTGGCCCCTCCATTTGTTTACCACTTCGTAAAGTGATAGCCATAATATTCTCCCTTGGGTTGATTTCCGTTGTAGTAGGAAATCTACCATGCTCCCTAGTAGTTCTTTCTTGAGCTAGTTGACCAATTTGAACTTCTAAGTTATGAATAGAGGACTTGGTATATTGCTCAATGGTATCCATGCGTTGATTTAGCTTCCGGTTTTGATCTTCAAACCGCATGTCAAGTTTAGTGAATTGATTATGGAGATTCCCAATGGATGCCTCCATTCTACTATGATTTTCTACATTTTGGGTTTTGATGCTAGCCACATTTTTGGTGAGAAGCTTCATCATCTCCTCCATAGTAGATTCTTGTGATTGCCCAAATTTGGGAGCTCCGGGTTGAGGGTTTGAAGAACTCCCTTGTGGCTTCCAATTGTTTCCTTGGTTGTACCGTTGTTGATTGTTGTTGGAAAAATTATATCCTCCTTGATTTGCCCGGTTACCATAGGAATTCATGTAACTAACATCCTCAAGATGTTGAGAGGAGTTACCTTCCACATTGGGAATGCTCTCCACATTGGCCACTTGTTTGACCCCTCCAATAACGGCTTGTAAAGCCGTATGAATTGATGCTTGTAGATTTTGCTGAATTTTGGTTTGAAATTCTTCAAACCTCTTATCAAGTTCATGAGTGATAGAAATTTCATTCACTCCCGCCACCTTGATGTCTCCTCCTTGAAGTTGAGGATTTGAAGCAATGGACTCAAGAATTCTCAAAGCTTCCGTCTCGGTTTTGTTGTCAATGTATCCCTCCGCTCGGTTGTCCACAATAGCTTGACAAGATGAGTTCAAGCCATTGTAAAAAGTGTCAATTTGGAGGTCAAGAGGAATGCGGTGATGGGGGCATTCCTTCAACAAAGACTTGAAACGCCTCCATGCGTCTTGAAAGAGTTCTCCAACTTGTTGTTTGAAGTTGAAGATTCGTTGTCGTAGCTCTTGCGTCATTGTTGGAGTGTAGTACTTGGAGATGAAGACATTGTATATTTCATCCCAAGTAGTATAGGATGCCGGTGCTTGCTCTAGAAACCACCCTCTTGCCGCTCCCTTCAAGGTGTAGGGGAAGCATTTGAGCCTATGATCACCTTCATTTAGGCCATTCCTTGGAACAACTTGAATAAACCCATAAAATTTATTGATGAAATTTAATGGATTCTCCCCTGGTTGTCCATAAAAGTGCGGCATAACGTTGAAGTAGCTATTCCGCAACTCATAGTCTCGTGCCGCCTCGCTGAGCACGATGCAAGAAGGAGTTGTTGCGATGACGGGCCTCTTCCTTTCATTGAGTGTAGGAAGCATTGTTGGTGCTTTTGCTTCCTTCTTCTGATTCCTTCTACAAGCTCTCTCGATTTCAAGATTGATAGGTTCAAGGTTTGTAGAGCCTTGACTTCTCAATAGCATGCACTAAGAGCTTGTCTACACAACAAAATTTAAAACAATACCAAGTGAAATGTAATGGGAAAATTCAGGAATTTTTGTTGAATCGTATAAAACAAAACCGTTTCCCCGGCAACGGCGCCAAAAACTTGATCGGCTGAAACTTGCAAGTGTACAAGTGCCAAAGTAGTAATAAATTCCGGTAAAAATACCGGGTCGAACACAAGGAAACGTTGTTTATATGATTCAAAAGTGAAAACGGTTTAGTAAAAGAATTAAGAAAAGAGTAAAGCTTTTTGATTTTTTAAGAGATAATAAAAGCAACCAAGGGTTCGGGATTACTCCTAAACGACTCCTAGTGATGAATATATGTTCTTTCGCCAATTCTTATGAGTGGAATGTCACTAAAGTATTCTAACTCCTGTTACGGCAGCGAGATTGTGATTAATTCTACGTGTGAATCCCGTCACGGTTCACATTCATCTAAAATTAACCCCATTGAAGATTAGGACATTATAAAAACCACCATACTCAATTGAGGTATATTTCTATCCACAATTAGAATATGTCTAACCTTTAAGTGCACGGTTTATAACTCAACATTAATTGCTCAAATAAACCCAACGATAATAATCATATGTTGTACACCGTAGTCATACCCATTAAAATATAAAGGAAAGATCATAATAATTTGGTTAAGAACATACGTCAAACACCTAGAGTGCGTAAAGTTTCATCCCTAACCTTGGCTATAGAAAATTAACTAGAACAATTCATAATGAAATTACAAGTATTGAAATGATAAAATACAATGAAATAAATAAGAAAATGATACCACAACTCCAAAGCTATGGTGGATAAAGCTTTCCCCAAGTGTAGAACTTCTCCCACGACCAAGGGGTTGCTCTTGGGATGCTAAAGTAGAAGTAAAGTGTGTAGAATATGGAATAATCTATTGAGAGGGCTTCAATCCTCTTAAATATTGAGTTCTCAACGGCCATTTTCGGACAAGGAAGCAAGCTCCTTAATGGGATTTGGTGTTTTGCCCGAATGATTGTGATGACCGTTGCTTGTTTTAATCAGCTCCAGGCGAAAGGCGGGCGACTTTCGCAAAAGCCGGGCGACTTTTGCGAGTTTAAAACAGGCTTCTCCGCTCCAGGGACCGAAAGCCGGGCGGCTTTCGCCAAAAGCCGGGCGGCTTTTGGTTCGATTTGCTGAATAAATTCCACGGCGCCCAAAGCCGGGCGCCTTTCATGAAAGCCGGGCGGCTTTCGTCTTGTTTTGCTCCAGGTGCTTTTCCTTCATCTTCGGACGGCAACTGGATGGCTGGTTGGTGAAAACCGGCCGGTTTTGGTGAAAGCCGGACGGCTTTCACCCCTTTGGTGTATTTTCCTTTTTTTCCTTTTGTTCTCGGGATGCGTTTGGTTGACCTTTACTTGTCGGGATTCTTCGTGTGTCTTTTCATCCTCGTATTTGATCCTATTGTCGGTTATAGTATTTCTTGCAAAACGAGACATATGTGTGAGAGTTTTATTCTTTTAAGTATAAAAGCGTTTATAAATTTTTGTATAAAATACGTTAATAAAACTCTTATCAGTATAACATATATTACACTTATTTTGAAGTCCCCCATATATACAAGTGTGTTAGTGTTGTTTATGATTAACAGGTGATTCGGAGCATCAGGTGCTACACTCAACCGAAAATGACACTCACAGATCATAAAGTGATGAACACGAAGCAGAGGATGGTATACATGTGTATTATTGTTATTTCTCATCAATGTAGCTTTATTAATCATTATTTTTTATGTGTGTAGACGGTGGGAAGTTTTCACAAATTGAAGATGATAGCCGCGGTAGGGGCCCTTGCAAACAGATTAAGACATCTCGTATGGTTCGTCTTAGTAAACACAGAATTGAAGTTCCATACAACAAAGTTACAAGAAGAGCAACAAGTGCTGAGATACATAGCCTCCTTTTTCATGATGCTGAGATCACATTGTCCAATGGATACTGGTTTTTGGGGGAAAATACCTCTCGATGATAGAGCTGACCTTATGGATGAGATCACAGTGAGCTACCTACCTGAGAAAAGAATGTGTACTCTATATATTGTATTTTTACTTTGGCACTTCAAAATTTCATTCTTTCATTATTTCTTTATTTTATTTTTGTTTAATAGATCAGTTAATTTACTTTATGTCAATTTCAGACGAACTTTAAGATCGATTTTGAAGATCCCGATATAAAAGAGTATATAAATAGACTATACAATGGAAGGTATAGAGAGTTCAAGGCTGAATTGAGTAGATATTACAAGTCGTGTGGAACGCATGAAAAAGCATTGACTTTGCCTGATCAGACCAGACAAGAGTTAAACAGACCAAAGCGGACCAGACCAGACTTAACCTGATCATATCAAACCAGACTCAGACAATTATAAAATACACAGAGACAACATATTATTTATGAGATCAGACCAGATCAATTTAAATAAAACCAGACTAGACTTAAACGGAGTAGATGATCAAAATAACAAATTTCGAAGATTTCCTAAACCAATGCAACTTGTACTTGTGTGAAGCTATAATTCCAAACGTATGCGCGCGCCCTTTGCTTGATAAAGCTTCGCCTTCCGAAATCCGAAATCCACAACTTTCAATTAGCTCCACAATAAACTTTAGGTAGAAATCTCTCCTGTGTGAAAAAGGGTGCGATTTAGGGTTTGAAATACGGGTATGTGTCTAAAATCTGATTTTTTATATGGATTTCATATGTTAGAAACAAATTCAATCATTACGAAATAGGATTTGCTAATCCTTGTTAGTATTTCTTGGCTTCAAGTTGTTCATACACATGTTTAGCATCTGCATGCATCTGATATTGACTTGTATTTAAACTACTCGGTTTATGGTATTGTGCGATATATATGCTTTAATTCGTTGTACTTATTTCCTTCATTTCACATCTATTAAATTTATCTAGGCATTCCAGTTAATGGCTGCTAAAGACAGAATTAGTGGACTACCTGGTGATATATTTGACCATATTTTGGGGTTCTTACCAATTCGAGATGCTGCTAGAACATCTGCTTTGTCTGCAGTTTGGAGAGATGCTCAGTTAAGTCTTTCCCAACTCAAATTTGACAATGACTTTTTCTCTCACATCCGGTGCCACTACATTGCACAATCAGCCATTGATACGTTTGTAATTTCCATATGCATGTTTGTGTTTTTAATTAGTTTTGCTTGATCTTTACTATGGAAATTACACACTTTTGGTGTAATAGATTAGTTTGTTAAATTCATGTAAATAATTTAGATTAGATATATTCTTAGCTCAAACAGGTCCTGATCACTCAAAGTACAGTTGGTGAACCCAAAAAAGTGGAAAGAAGGTGCATAATTTGAAGACAAAAGAAGGATCCTTAATTTTGGTCTATACTCGGTCGAGTATTAACTATACTCGATCGGGTATTAGGTTGAAACTTCAAATCAGATCAGATCCGAAGACAAGGGAACATGTCAGGAGGATTTCGGCCACGATTTAATGTCTATACCCGATCGGGTAGACCGACATACCCGATCGGGTATGCCTTTGAGTTTTAAACGAAGATCGGTCGAGTATGGCTCGAATACCATTTTCTAAGCATACTCGACCGGGTATAAACATATACCCGATCGGGTATACCTGTGGAAAATAGCCTGAAACCGATCGAGTATACCTCGAATCGAGTATTACACACATACTCGATCGGGTACCATGTATATACCCGATCGAGTACCCGAATCCCATCCCAAAAGCCTATAAATACACCTCCTTTCCTTCACAAAAAGAGATCCAATTCCTTTGTACATCTAAGCTCAGTATAGAATAGTTCTTTCTTTATATTTTTCATCATGTTTAGTCTCCAAATGAGGAGCTAAACTCTTCCATCTTGGTTTTGCTACTTTGAAGCTTAATGAATTTGTAAGTTGTGAGTTATTTTCTTTAATCTTCTTCCTTGAATATTAATTCTTCTTTTAAAATACTATTTCTATATCAAAGTTGGGGAGTGTTACTAAGATGACAATTAGTTAACATCTTGACATTGGTTATAATAATAGCTATTTCTTCCTCTATGTTAATATTGGGGAGTGTTACTAGGATGACAATTAGTCAACATCTTGATATTAATCATAGTAGGATTCATATTCTTTAATATTCTTCCTTGAGTATTAATTAATTCCTATTCATATTTCATGTTAATATCTTAAACATTACTTAAAGTATCAACTAGTATTGTTTCTCATATTAATTATTACTAGAATCAGTCGGTTAATACGCTTGTTATTAATCCGGTTCTTTCAACGGTAGTAAACTTGGAATGTTAATGCATGCATCTCATGGTTAATATGCCAAGGGGAATTAATTATATCGATTAAACCAATAAACCGCTTGTGTTGAGATTATCAATCTCAATCGTTTTCATCTTAAGTTTATTGCTACTATCAAGTTAATATACGGCGCTTGTTCTATATTGACTCGATAGTAAGTTTTATTAATGAATGCATCTCGTTATTAATAACTACCCTCGATGAACTGGATATACTCCTCGATTGAGTATTCGAGAGGAAGATAGTTAAAGATATAACCGGGATCGGCGAACATTTCATTAAGTGGATAAAAGTAAAACCAAGTCCTCATCTCATTAAATTAAACTCATATAGGTTGTTTATCTTAGTGTTTTTAAATCTAACAAATCTAAACCCCCCTTGTTACTACTTATATTGAAGAAAAGTATTCCTTTCCCTGCGGATACGAACCTTACTTCACTATACTACGTATTAGTGCTGTATTGATAAATTATTTTGAGTGCACCTCACGACAAGTGCACGTCAGCCATGATTGTAATTAGCAAAATTCTCATGAAACACAAGGGACCTATTAGAAAGTTTGTTTTCCGGTGTTTCATGTTTAAAAAAGGAGATATGAGAAAGTCTAGATGGGTTGAATTTGATGAATGGTTACTTTTTCTCACAAGAAATAGGGTTGAAGAATTGGACCCGTTTTTTATGCCATCGGCATACGTACTGCCAGATTTCATCATTTCTTGCTCAACCCTCAAGAAGCTGCGTCTTTTTGGGGTGTTTCTTGAACCAATAAAGACCCCCTGCATATTTCCCAATGTCACTTCTCTTTGTCTTCAATGTGTTCTGTTTGGTTCCAGAAATCTTCTTCATTCTCCCACTGCTCTTCCAATGCTCAAGAGTCTTGAGTGTGCAAATATATCTAGTTTCAACATTACTGCCCCAAAACTTCGAAGTTTAAAAGCTCTTGGTCGTACTATTCATGGTGTACTTCCGGTTACGTTGGACTTGAATCCCATCTGTTCTCTTCATCTCTGTGATTGTTCTGCTAAGGTACACTAGACACACATCTTCTACTTTCGTTCTTGGATTGCTATCTTTTAGAATCTCTTTTAGAAAATTTTCTGACTCCTATTTGATTTTTTCAAGGATATTATTGAAGAATTAACTAGACTGGGAAAACATGGAAGTACACTCAATGTGGGATGCCTCAAGCTACATTTGTGGGTGGAACATGATGAAATTCCTTCCTTCATTAATTTGTTGCGAATGTGCCCACAGCTATACAAAGTTGATGTACAGCTATCGGTACCTAAGTCGGTAATCTTCGGCGTAATGGATAATCATTGTTCTATTAAATTAAACTGTTCATGTATCCTCTTAGGTTGTGGAAATTATTGTTGGCCTGAATGAGATATTCTCATTTTTCTAAATGCTTTTAGACTGATGTAGTGGCTACTACTATGGACACAGTATTGGAGCATCCGGAGTTTATTGTCACTGAAACATGCAAAAGCGTCCATATGTTGAATCTTTCTTGTGCTTTTCGAGGGTCTAGGCCCGAAATGCTGCTCTTCAAGTGGCTACTGTCGTGCTTTCCCATGCTTGAGAAGGTTTTCATATTTCAGAGTAAAGTATTTTGCTCCAACACGGAGTTTAAAAATGAGAGAAAGCTTTTGCGCTTTCTGCGGGCTTCTTCAAAAGCAAAAATTGTTTATACCTAAAAACGTGTTTAGATTTTAAGTGTTTTGCACTATAGTACATAACTTCAGGTATGTAAACTGTCTACCTCTGTATAGAATTTTCCACCACTTTTGAACTTCTTTAAGGGGATTTCTCAATCAGCTAAACCATGAGTGGAATTATACACCGAAGATAGGGTAGACCCGTTTGGGCCTTCCAAAAGTAAGATTCTTGACTATATTCGGTTCGATGTTCGAAGATGGTTTTGATTTTGTGATGATTTCAATTGTTACAAGCTTTTTGTTTTTAAATGTCATCCAATGATTTTGATATTTAATTAGAGGACTTTCTGTGTTTTTAAAATGAAATTAATGTGGGAAAATCATCAAATAGTGTTCGTAATATTTCAAAATAATCAATTGAAATAGCGAAAAAAACACTCCATTAAACTTGTAAACTTTACTGTGTATAATATTTACGAACACATTGCTTCACACTGTTTGTTAAGCCTTATTTTGGTTTTACAAAATTATTAATAAAGGAGTGAAAAGTAAAAGTTGTTGTTGAGATTTATATACTACCTCCGTTTGTTTTAGTTGCAACATTCGTGAATTATATATTATTCACATTCTCAACTTGGCTTTATTTTATTTATTAATGTATAATAATTTTTACTAAAATTGTTAAATTCCCCCCATTTTAAATTTTCTCAATCTGAATTTTTTATTTATTTACAAATAAAAAATGAAATATATGGATAGTCAACTATCGAGGTGATGTACAAGAATGTGCCAACTATCGAGGGATTAAGCTTATGACTCACACCATGAAACTTTGGGAACGAGTGATTGAGCAAAGATTTTGAAGAACTGTAAAGATTTCAGAGAATCAATTCGGTTTTATGCCTGGTCGCTCAACAATTGAGGTCATTCACCTTCTTTGGCAACTTATGGAGAAGTATAGAGACGCTTATAAGGATCTGCATTTGGTGTTCATTGACTTAGAAAAAACATATGATAGGGTACCTCGAGAAGTTCTTTGGTGGGTCTTAACTAGGAAAGGCATATCATGCAAATATATCAGCATCATCATGGATATGGATGAGGATTGTACTACAAGTGTCGTACTAGTGTAGGGAGGACTGAAGAGTTCCCTATTACTATCGGAGTGCACCAAGGATCGGCCTTGAGCCCTTTCTTATTTGTCATAGTCATGGATGAACTTACGAAGTCAATTCAAGACGATATACCTTGGTGCATGATGTTTGCCGACGATATTGTATTGATTGATGAGACACAATCAGGTCTTAAAGCAAAGTTGGAAATATGACAACAAACATTGGAGAATAAGGGTTTCAAACTAAGTCGGAGCAAGACAGAGTACATGGAGTGCAAGTTTGGTGGAGGTAAAAGCAGTGGTAATAGCGGAATTACTCTGGATGGTAAGGAGATACCAGTCAGCGATATGTTCCGTTACTTGGGCTCCATAATTTAGACGGACGGTGAGTTAGATGGAGATGTATCCCATAGAATCAGAACATGGTGGATGAAGTGGAAGAGTGCGTCAGGATTTCTATGCGATTGAGGTATGTCGACTAGACTGAATGGTAAATTTTATAGGACAGCAATTAGGCTTGCATTACTGTATGGCGTAGAATGTTGGGTGGTGAAAAAATGTCACATTCAAAAGATGAGTGTGACAAAGATGCGCATGCTGCGTTGGATGTGTGGGCATACTAGGAAGGACCGCGTGAGGAATGAGATAATCAGACAAAGGGTGGGAGTAGCACCTATTGAAGACAAGATGCGGGAGTCACGCCTACGGTGGTTTGGTCATGTGCGTAGAAGACCGAGTGATGCACCTGTCAGACGAGTTGAGATGTGTGGAGAAGAGGTAGGGAAGAGAGGGAGAGGAAGACCCAAACAGACGTGGGTTCGGGGAGTTCAAAGTGATATGTTTTTTCTGGGGTTGGATGAGGGCATGACTTTGGAGAGAACTAAGTGGGGAGGTGGGTATTCGTGTGGAGGAGTGATCTCGTATCATCTTTTTCCTTCATCTTTTTTTCCTTGTTTTTTATCCTTATATATGTAAGCATTATTTGTATCCTTTTTATTTTATCATTTTTTATGTATATTCATCTCTTTTTATATTATCTTTTTCTAATAGCTTATCTTTTTTATCTTTATTTTCATTCTTTTTCCTTTTGGTTGTGATATCATGTATCGATTCATGTTAGCCGACCCCAATATCTTTTGGGACTAAGACTTGGATGTTGTTGTTGTTATTGTTGTATGGATAGTCAAACTTTTGTGTTGACTAACATGAAAATTGAACTGTTGTAACTAAAAAGAAGAGATGAGGCATAATAAAGTGATAGGTTGTTAGTTCATAAATTTCTTTCTAAATTTATAATTTAGAAGTTTCTCCGAGTCATTTTATTCTTCACTCTTTGTGAGACTAGATTAGACTTGGGTTTGTACATATTTATTTTGGGCCGAAGGGCTTTATTTCTTTGTACACACTTGTATAAATACTCTTGTATTGTGTTAATAGAAGGCAAGAAAAGATTTTCTCTCCATTTAGCATAACCGTTCCAATATGGTATCAGAGCCGTGAGGGAGTCTCATGCAATACCTATGTTCGACGCCGTCTTCCTCGCAGGTCTGCACCAGTGTGCTTCGGCCCAGCGATATGGGCGATATCACTTCTCCATATTATTTTGGTTCAGGAGATCAGCCCGGGAACCTTATTACTCATATAATTTTCAAACGCCGTCTTCCTGCCTGTTGATCATTGTGTAAAATCTAAAATGAATAGCGATTCAGACTTAGTTTGATGTACAGGTATGGGTCGGAATATTATTTGTATCCATTTCATGTGTTAGAAAGAAATTCAATAATCAAGCACTAGTGTTCGTAATGCCTGTCCGTATTTCTAGGCTTCAAGTTTGATGTTCATATATTCATGTTTAGCATCTGCATGTAGCTGTAGTGATTGCATTTCAATTACTCCCTCCGTCCCTAAATTATCTTCAAACTTTCCTTTTTCGTCCGTCCCAAAATTATCTCCTCTTCCCCATTTTAGCGAAAAATTTGTGATTCACAACCATTCTTACACATTTCTCTCTCCTCTGCACAACTCTCCACCACACAAATCCCACTATCTTAATAAATGTGCCCAGCCGAAAAGGGAGAAAGATTAGGGACCGAGGGAGTACTTGTTTTATAGCTTTCTGGAATATGGTTTAATTGGTTGTGCTTCCTTCAATTCGCATCTCTTAAAGTTATCTAGGGATTCTGGGGCATGGCTGCTAATGACAGAATCAGTGGACTTCCCGGTGATATACTTGACCATATTTTGGGGTTCTTACCAATCTCAGATGCTGCTAGAACTTCTGCTTTGTCTACAGTTTGGAGAGATGTTTGGTTAAGTCTTTCCAAACTCAGCTTTGACAGTATATTTTTCAATTACATCCGGTGCCACTACATTGCAGAATCAGCCATGTTTGTAATCAACAAAATTCTCATGAAGCACAAAGGACTTATTCGAAAATTTGTTTTCCATTTTCGTAATTTCTTGTGGGCAAAAAGAAATGCAAACAGAAATGCAAATTGTAGTTGGGTTGAAGTTGATGAATGGTTACATCATCTCACAAGAAATGGAGTTGAAGAAATGGACCTGTCTTTTGGTCCAACTACATATGTATTGCCTGATTTCATATTCTACACGCACGTATTGAATAAATATAGATGTATCAAAATAATAAGTGCATTACAAATATCAAAGCTTATTGAATCTAAAATACCATGTAGAGATTAGAGATGGTATTTAACTGGATCAGGGATGGAATCGGGCCGGGTGGCCCGACCCGGAATCGGCCCGGTGGCCCGGCCAGGGACCGGTCCGGGTAGACGCGGCTCGTTGGTTTTACGGTGCGGGCTCGGGTCCGCCAAATGATGAACCAGCCCGGTTCTGGGCCTTTTTTTCAATTTTTTTTTCAAGGTTGGGTTGGGTGTTTTGGGCCATTTGGGGTGGTGAGGGGGGGTGGGGGTGAGGGGGGGGGGGGGGTATTTGGGGATTAATTAGAAGAAAAAAATAGGAAGTGGCCCGAGGCCTGGCCTAGCCCGGATCCGGACTGGACCCGGTGGCTACCCGGGTCGGTCCCGGGCCCAACTATTCTGAACCGGTGGCCTGCCCGGGCCTAGAACCGACCCGGACCCGGCCCGAGTCCACCCATAAAGTGAATTTTATGCCGGCGCTGTTGCTCTACCTTACTAGACTTCCGGTCATAATCAGTGACTTCTTGTCACCATTGTGACATTATGTATTGTTTTCTATTTAGTGCACAACACTCTCCTTCGATGTTCTGCACTTTCAATCATAATCTAATCTATGTACTTTGTGTCAACATTGTGACACTATCTTCTGACTTTGATTCATTACACAACACCCTCTTATAATACATTCATTCACCGCACATGTTCAAAGTCGGCGATTATGATGTCGACTAGAGCAAGGAAGAATGAATCACCTTGCTCACCTGAGAGCGTAATTCTTGTCCATCAAAACGGGGGGTTTTCGCCCCTAACTGTTGGTTTAGCGTCGTCCTTCCAACACCTCACCAACCCTAATTTAAAGATCTACAAAGGAGGAGGAATATATTTTACAATCTCCGTGAAAGTCAAACTGTTGCAACTTATATTATTTTATGAGTTTGTGATTAAAGTTCAATTTACATCGTCTCATCTAATTATTTGGTCGATTTTGGGCCTCTCAGGAATGGGTGTCATCCAATATATGAATATTTGTTGCATTATATTTGTGTAGCTATGCACCTTAAGTAACACTCTATCTGTTTCATTCGAAGATTCTCACAATCGTAAATTGAACTTTAATCACAAACCCATAAAACGAAAGTGAGAACTTTCGAATGAAACACTTGGCAATGAAGACCATAAATATAATTACTACATTATATTACTTGAAATTAATATTCATCCGTGATTTTTATAACTTTAACATCCAATTGATATGTACAACAATATAACATAAATTTATATAAAGACACATTTAGTTAGTTGAGAGACAAATGTATACTATTTGGGCAATAAATAAGTAGTCTAATACTCCCTCTGGGCCTAAATAAACTTCACACTTTCCTTTTTGAGTAGGTCCAAAATAAACTTTACACTTCTTCTCCCTTCCTTATTTGGCAAATTATCTACATCAAAACAGTGCAAAACAGTGCCAAAACAGTGCCAAACAGTGCCAAACAGTGTCACAACAGTGTACTCTACAGTAAAGTCAAATTTATTTCTTTAATTTGTGTGAATTCATAGTAAGAAGTTTATTTAGGACCGGAGGGAGTAATAGATTTATTGGAAAAATATACGGTGTACGGAGTATTTATTATTTTTGAACAATTTTTTATTCTTTATTTTTCGAATCTAAAAAAAAGGATGACACCCCATCCCTGAGGTCCCACCAACCCCGACCGGACGGTACGTTGGGAGGATGTAAATTGGACTATAATCCCAATCTGACAGATAGAGAGTGAGGCTCTGTCCCCGGTACTTGCAGAGGCCCTATGCATTTTTAGCATATTAACCCCTCATCGCAGTTGTCGGGATTCGAACCTGGGACCTAACCCTTGTTGTACTTTCTTGCTACCGGTTGAGCTACGCCCACCGGTATTATTATTATTTATTTTTTATTTATTTTTTCGAATCTAAAAAATCAAGGACTGGTCTATAAAAGTACTTCCTATATAATGCGATGTGGTAACTGTTTTCTTGCCGTGCCGATTGGGCGTTAAGCTTAAACTCAAGAAACTTGGAAAATTAGGTCGCACAAAGTTGGTCTGCCTTCCAATTAGATCGACAATAAAATTTGTGTAGAAATCCCTCTTTCTGTTCTACCGGTATTAAAATGTAGGTTCAACTTTGCCTAAAAAATGATTGCGATATAGAGTATGCAATACGGGTATGGATCTGGATGCTTTGTTTGTTTTCATTTCACAAGAAATGTAATAATAAGTACGCAATAGGATTGGTGATGGAGGTCCGTATTTCTAGGCTTCATCATATTCATCCTTTTAATTGGTTGTGCTTATTTCCTTCATTTCGCAGCTTCTAAAGATATCTAGGTATTCAGGGGTATGGCCGGAAAAGACAGAATCAGTGGACTTCATGGTGATATAATTGACCATATTTTGGGGTTCTTACCAATCTCAGATGCTGCTAGAACTTCTGCTTTGTCTACAGTTTGGAGAGACGCTTGGTTAAGTCTTTCCCAACTCATCTTTGACTCTAATTTTTTCAATCACATCCGGCCCTTCATTACAGAATCAGCCATGTCTGTAATTAACAAAATTCTTTTGAAGCACAAGGGACCCATTCGGAAATTTGTTTTCCATTTTTGCATGTTTTATTTGGTAAGAGAAGATACGAACAAGTCTAGATGGGTTGAATTTGATGAATGGTTACTTTTTCTCATAAGAAATGGGGTGGTAGAAATGGACCTATCTTTTCTCCCATGTGCATACATATTACCTGATTTCATATTTTCTTGTTCAACCCTCAAGAAGCTGCGTCTTTTTGGAGTGTTTGTTGAACCAATAAAGGCCCCGTGTATATTTCCCAATGTCACTTCTCTTCGTCTTCAACATGTTCTGTTTGATTCCAGAAATCTTCTTGATTCTCCCACTGCTCTTCCAATGCTCAAGAGTCTTGAGTGTGAAAATATATCTGGTTTCAACATTACTGCCCCAAAACTTAGAAGTTTAAAAAATTTTGGTGCTAATTTTCATGGTGTTCTTCCATTTACCTTGGACTTGAAACCGATCTGCTATCTTCATCTCTACCATTGTTCTGCTAAGGTACGTTAGACACACATCTTCTACTTTCCTTCTGGTTTGTTATCTGTTTATTATATCTTTTAGAAAATTAGCTTGCTCCTGTTCGATTTTTTTCTAGGATATAATTAAAGAATTAACTAGATTGGGTAAACAAGGAACTACACTGAATGTGGGCCAACTCAAGTTGCGTTTGTGTGCTGAAGAGGATGAGATTTCTGCCTTCATTAATTTGTTGCGAATGTGCCCAAAGTTGTATAAACTTGATATACAACTATTGGTACGTCGCTAATCTTCGGAGTCATGGAGAATCGTTATTGTATTAAATTAAACAAGTTATTCTTGTCACTATTCCCCCTTATTGATGTACATTCTCATTTTTTATAAATGTTTTTAGAACAATGTTGTGCCAACTTCTACACACGCTTCGTTGGAGCATTCAGAGTTTATTGTGGCCGGAACATTCCAAAAGGTTAATACATTGAATCTTTCTTGTGCATTTAGAGGGTCATTGCCGGAAATGCTACTCTTCAAGTGGCTTCTTGCATGCTTTCCCATGCTTGAGAGGGCTTCCATATCTCAAAGAATAACATCTTTCTCCAACACGGAGTCAAAAAACAAACAGGAGCTTTTACACTTCCTTCGAGCTTCTTCAAAAGCAGACATTTCTTACACTGAAAAACTTTTTAAGAATTGTAGTCTATTTTAATTATTTTGTAATATTATACATGACTGTTTTTGAAGTCATTTGTATGTAGTACGTGCTACCCAGTATGCAAACTTTCAAGTTTCAAACTCTAAATCTTGCGGAATGCTACCTATTAACTTTTAAGGGAAATTTCAAATTTTTCTGTAATTCTTTTAGGGGATTTCTCTATCTGCTAAACAATGAATGGAATTATACTCCAAAATTAATGTGGGCTCGTATGGGCCTTCCAAAAGTGGAACCTTCACCAGGTAATATTCAGCTGAGGACTCGAGGTTGAACTGATGGTTATGAATCCTTGCGATTTTGTTCGGATTTCAATTGTTACAAAGCTTTCTGTTTCTGGAATGTTATCCAACATTTATGATATTTAATTTAGGAGGGCTTATTTCGAGATTGAGAGTATGGTTTGGGCAGATTGGGAGGTTTTGTTTGATTGTTTTTTAGCTTCGGAAGTGCAAGGTTGCAGATTTTGTTTTCGGGACTGCATTTTTGGAGTCTGCAGTTTGTGCATATTCTAAATGGTTGCAGGGTTGTTTTTCTTTGTCTCAGGATTTTCAGGTTCCACTGGCACGATGCATTGAGTTTACTTTATTAAAATAGCAATTTCTGGCGGTTGTAATTTTGAGTTTCATTAATAAAATTTCTTATCAATAAAAAGTGAAGGTAATGTTAAATTACTTTATTTAGTTAAAGTTACAAGGCTACCAAAGAAATGTACGGATATATAAGACATCCTTGTGGATTTCAACTTTAAGATCACGAGATTGATTTTAGATCACTAGCACACAGGAAACATGTTGTAAAATGAATTTGGATCCTCTCCTGTGACCGGAGAGTTCCAGTGGGAGAGAGATAGAGAGGAGGGGATTTTAGGTGGAGTATGTAGATGAGTAAGATAGAGAAAAAGGTAGAGAGAGATAGGAAGAAAAAAAGAAATGGATGAGAAATAGAGAAGGAAAAATGGAGAGGAGCTTCACCCTTGTAAAATTGGGGTGACATTAATGGACTTTCTCAAATTACATGGTACACTCGCTTGTACCGTGCGTATGCTTCAGCTGGGCCTTTTGTTCTGTTGCGCACCTATGACGACTGAAAGCGGAAAATGACGAGTTCCAAGAAACAATGATGACGGATGACCTCCAGCCACGAGCGATTGGCAGCAACCTCCGGTGGTGGGGGTAGATCCAGGTGGCGAGGTGAGTTCTGCCTGGACGAGTCATGAACCACCTCTAACGACAATTGATAAGCGACAGACCTGTGAGTTCCTGCAATTGGTGAGCATAGATGAAAGTTGTTTCCCAAATATAGGTATAGATTTACTTTTTAGTATTACATTTTTTACTATGACTAAAACCTAATACAATTAAAATAAACTCTGATTAAAACCTAATATAATAACAATAATAATATAATTAACGTTTTTTGGGCACAAGCTTTATAAAGCTTTGGTTGATGTTTCTATATCAATAGTCAGTGTCATATGTTTTACTCCACTCCAATTAATTAATAGCTTTAAGAAAATAATAAAACAAATTTAATTGTAGTTATGCATGAGTCGTTTGCATTATGCTGCACCCATTTCAAGATTGTATGAATTTTCACTCTGTATATTCTTAGGTTGTTTTACACCTTAAGTACGTGCATTTTTATTGTAAGCAAGAATTGGGTTTGTACTGTGTCTTTGTTTAAAGATTTGACATAATAGAGATACTGTTTTTTATTAATTTATTTAGTATTGTGTAATGGTTTAAAAAAAAAATTCATCGAATTTTTTTTGTATATAAAATTTTCAAAACGCGTTTTGGACATATATGTTTGTGTTTCTCGATCATTTGACAAATTTGCTTGATTATCATTTTGTATATATCGTTAAAGTAATCTTTTGTAATGGAGTAAAATATACGGACCTGACTAACTAGCCAGCTAGATAATAAAGCTCAAGTAGATTCAATCGTACCTAAACCATACATTTGTCCACATGGATCAATGGAAGTGTTGCAGTTGAATTATTTAATTTTAAATTAAAAATAATATACCTATTTGGACCAATCAAATGAATGGTAAGTACGGTACCCCATTTTTTTAAATGGGTACCGGAGTTGTCACATGTTTTTTCCGATACGGTGATCAGATATCCATCCAATGGAGGTACGTACGTACGTGTTTTGATACTAGAGGGCTGCATGTGTATCTGCATGCTACCTTCTACTATTCGATTCTAGTCTACATATATCAATGTTAATTCACTCCATTCCTTATTATTATTATTATTATTATTATAATCATCGTCATTATCATTAATCTAGCTTTCAAAAAGATTTTGCTCGTAGATTAAGAATGAACTGCAAATTAATTGTGTGATTGAGGGTTAGGTAGAGGGAAACAAAAATTATATGAATAAAAGCTCTATATTATAAAAGGAAATTGGAGATCATTTTGGGACAAATAAAAACAGAAAGAATGAACACGATTTTGATACACACGAAATATTTTGATAAAAAGGAAATTATAAGAATAAAGATGTCAACTCAGAACATGATCCAGAAGACAGGAGAACCGGGTGTCTCCGTCGGCCGTGTCTCCTTCGACCAGACCTTTGTCGGCCACAGAGAGCTAACATAGCCGGATTTCGTACTTAGCCAATTTACATACTTTGTATTCGGCCCAATAGAGGTCTCATTGTAATCGAGCCCCCCAAGCACTAGTAGAAAAATGGCGATTGGAGGCGCTTCTGGACAGGCACGCGCGGCGCTTCGAAGCGCCTCCAATTTTTCCGCCGCAAACGCTTGATTGGAGGCGCTTTTTAGTCAGATGCGCCTCGGATTTTTTTTAAATTTAATTTTTTATTACGACATTTCGCGGCGCTTTTCTTACTAGAAGCGCCGCACGCACGGTAACTTAAGCACTATTTGCGGCGCTTTATATGTTAAAAGTGCCTCTAAAATTTTCGGAAATTTTACATTAGAGGCGCTTTTTTTTGGAGAAAGCGCCTCTAATTTTATTTATTGTTTAAATCCAGATTTTTTAATTACCATATATCCTGTTTTAATTACCATAATTTTATCCTGTTTTATTTACATGACCATTCATTCGTAAACTTCATATTAAACGTACAAATTGTTTCATTTAGAATTCAACTCCATAAAAGTTCAAATATTCCATCACAATTAAAAGAAATTACATCATAACTTCAAATGTGTAAAAATACTACATATTCATAACTTCATCTACAAAAAATCTAGCCCACACATTTTTGATTTCATCAAACTCTTCCTTCGAATATGGATCAGTTCTTGACTTCCAAACCTGAAAGCATTGATAAGAACATAAATAACATGAATACTATTAAACTAAATTATTTAAGCAAGTTATTTGATGAAATCCACTTGTTGAAGTATATAAATAAAATACCTGTCCAATATCAGAACTTCCAACATAAGATATTTCTTTTAAATAATTCTTTTTTAATTAAGGCATAAATAATATAAATAAGAGTGGATATATGATCCATTTTACCTTGATGTCATGCCACCTAATTGATTTGCCTCGACCCTTTTGTGTGGAAGCAACCATATACATCCTACAATACCAACTCAATATATACACATACATACATGCTCAATATTGACATAAAAACATTAATGGTAAAGATCACAACTAAATCTTAAAAAACATACATGGCCAAATCCTTTTGAATAGCAATATGGGATGAACTGGGCAATGAATTGAAGATATATCCTTTATCAACCTTTGGACAAATTGCAATCATAATCCAATGATACCTATATGATGGTCCCGGATAGGGTAAAAGTCTAGAGGGGGAGGGGGGGGGGGGAGGGGGGGGGGGGGGGAGAATAGACTTTTAAATCTTTTCGACCCTTACAAATATTTCCCTCTAGAGGAGTTGATCTATAATCTTTTGGGAGATTAATAGATGCACAACGGAAGTCTTTACCCTTTATATAGTGAATGTTTTAATCACTTTCTGATCTGAGGAAGATTGGACTTAGATGGCTAGCAGTTGGCTTGGCAGTTGGCTTAGCAGTTGGCTAGGTAGCAGGGAACTGCTGAGGCAACTGCTCAGATTTTGATCTGACGTACTTTTTGACAATGATATTTATGGCAGGCTGGTGAACTGAGATGGTCACAGGAAATGACTTTTATGTGAGCAGAGGGCTCAGCAGTTGGGTGGTCTCAGGGAACTGCTGAGGCAGCTGCTATACTTAGAAGGTGAATTACTGGGAGATGGTAGAGCAGACCTTTTAGAGATGGTGATGTGCGTCTCAGGTGTGAAAATGGTCTCAAAGAAAGCAAGTGATTAAGCAATAGGATAAGCAGTTGGGTCAGTTAAGACAATTGCTTAAGATTCTGCTGGCAAACTTCAATCCTTTTTGTGAGAAGTGCTAAGTGTGTGCTTTGTTTACTGAATGTAAATCAACACACAGTATATCCTGGTTCAGAGGTGGTGTAATCCTCCTACGTCCAGTCCCACCCTCTTTCAGATGGATTTCACTAAAGTATTAAGTCCAATACACTTAGTGCAAATCTAGCCTTTACAACACTTAGGCCTAGATTGAAGGTTTTTCACAGTGAGTATAGCACCACTCAAAGTTACTCAGTCCTTAGACTTTTCTCTAATGACCCAGTGGGGATCAAAAGGTACTCTATCTATCTACTTACACTGTAGGATCCGAACAACTGTTCTCCTAAGTGTTTACAACAATATGTGATTTGTTTCAAGAAAGTTCTAACCTCCAACTAGGAACTAAACTTCTATAATTTGGCAATGAAAAAGCTTTGTAAACTGGAAGTTTAGTGAAGCATGAGTCCAAGCAGAGAGTAAAGTTTAGAGTAGCACTTTCTCTTTTGCTAGGTCTCTCGTGAATGCTCTTGATAAAAATTCTCTCTTTTGATGCTCAAATGCTTGATTAGAAACTTTCGTTTCAGCCTCTATTTATAGGCTTTTTGGCTGATCAATCTTATCCGTTGGTTAGGATAAATTGATTTCTACCGTTGATCTTCTGGCGAGGACGAATTGTACATTCGTCTTTTTGTCCTGGAGCATTTATTGCGGCTGATCTCTTTGTCTTGCATTATTCAGCCGCTGAAGCATCTTCCAAGTGTGCGTCTCAGCTGTAGACCCTAGTACTTGATTCGGTATTTAATACCGGTCAAGTTTTTGTCTCCAATCATATACATGCATCGTATATTTATTTACGAACTAGGTCTCGTTCAGTGACATTTTAATTTTTGTGGTCTAATAAAATATACCGGTAGGATATAAATATCCTATTAAGGTAAATAAAATTACCTTATTGCATTTTTACTTTTTCCGGTAACATTTTATTAGTCATAAAAATTGTACATTAATTTTGTCACATAATGCAAATAAAATTGAGACACAATGTACACGTGTTATGTATAGTGGCATCATCAAAATCTTTATCAAAATTGGGTACTAACAATTTCCCCCTTTTTTATGATGCCAAAACTATACAACACAAGGAATTTTTTTTATTGATTTTCATTAAGTTTTTGCACATTGTTCTAAAGTCAGAGTACAATAGTTTATAGTCAATTTCGGACTTAAATGTATAGCTTACTCTGGCTTGTCTTCTTCTTGTTTCTTCTTGGCTTCTTCCTTGGCTTTGGCCTCTTCTGCTTTTCTTCTTCTGATTTCAGCTTCTTCCTTGAGGCGTTGGTTCTTCTTTCTGGTTTCTGCTCCTTTCTTGGCTGCTTGCGATCTTCTTAACGAGGAGGGACCTGCTTGTGTTGAAGGAGTATTTCCCCCCTTTTTGGCAGCATCAGGGATGTAGCTCTCATCAAAGAGATCCTCAATGTCATCATCCATTTCATCAGCTTTTCTCCTCATCGGATTGAGTCCATAGACTTGAATGGATAGGGCCTTGATGTGATTGTTGATGTCCAGAATGTCAGTCTTTACTTCATCCCTGACTTCATTTTCCAGGTTTTGAAGCCGTTCGTGAGTGATTTCCAAGTTTTGTCCCAGTCTCTGAAGGTCACTTCCATGATGTTGGAATTCCTTTTGAGTTGCTTGGTGTAGGGAGTTGAGATTGGATTCCATGTCTGCTCGAGTTTGTCCAATGGCATTTTAGTGCTCGATTTGCTTTGTTACAACTGTGTGAGAGAGCTTGAGCATTGCTGGAAGCTCGTTTGTTCTTATGTTTTGGATGAATTCCTCATGTTCTTGAATGGTCTTAAAGGCCTGCTCAAGGTTGGGAGGCCACTGCTAGTTCTTTTGCCCTTAGTTCCTTTAATGAGTGAACAATCTGATTTTCCAGCTCTTCATCCCGGGCTTCAAGGCTTCAAGTTCATTTCGAAGAGCCTCCATCTGTGCTGGTAGGTTTGAGAGTTGAATGTTGAGCTGAGCTTTCTGCTCTGAGTTGAATACTTGTTGTATCATCAAATTGCTTTTTAGATGGCAGTGTACTTCAGCGAACCTCATTTCCAGCAGCTCATCAAAATGCTTCTTCATTTTGATCAGTCTCTTGTGGAGGCGTACCTCAGCATTGCTAATGAATTTTGTAGTTGCTCTTCTTTCATTGATGAAGACCTCTGCTAGTGTTGGAGTGTCTTCTTCATCCTCATGCTGAATTTGGTTCTTAATTTCGTTGGACGTGGCAGGCTGCTCAGGAGCTGTTTCTTGGTGGGGTTCCAAGTTGAGATCTATCATAGCAGTCCCCTGCTGGATAGTAGCAACCAACA